TACGTCAATTATAACGTCACAAGACCCTGGCGCTCTGCGACTTCGTCAGAGTGGTGAAGCATTATGTCGAACCGTTGGTAGAGCTTCAGTAGAATATCGCAGACAATCGCTGCCGAATGTTTAAGGCTCTTGTTTCGTATTCGGGGGGCGGGGACTAAAATATCGGCCTAGATACCAGTTACCCTCATGTTTTAATATTCTCAACCCCTCCAATCGCATTAAAGTTGGCCACGTTTGCCTAAGGAGACTAAGAAAAGTCACGAAAATACCAATCGGCAATATCGATAACACGGCCGAGATTCTTATTGATTTTCAAGTCCGTGCGTTGTCACTAGACCAGATCTGTTGGGTAACTAATGTGTGTTATCTTACATACACTCCATACATCTTATTGGTGAGGTGCCAGGCTCAGGGATAATTTAATTTGTTCTTGCCTTTTATGTTTATGTTGTGTAATTGTATTCAAATTCTCTAGAGCACATAGAATATACGTATTAACTACGTGTCGTACTGGACAGTTTGTGCCATGTTTGAATTCTCCGGCTATTTAATCAGCTTAACGCAACCTGGGAATTTACGGTTCTGTACACAGACGGAGAAACAAACTGGTGGAGTTAGTAGATCAATTGTGCCAAAACTCACGGATTTACAAAGTATCCATTATTCTCTCTTTTTTTATCGTCTGGTATACATTTGTAGCAGTAACTATTTTAACACGCGGTGTTGTGATTAATGTCCCTACCTCCGGTTCTAATATCGACCTGTATATTTTATACATGGACTGAAGATTATCTTCGGTTTCTTTGATCTCCATACAAACGCGAGCATGCTACTTTAAAGTTGGTTAAACGTGCTTTCTTACATTTCGTCTTTACCGGATATCCTGAGTTGTAATTAATTCATATTTGATATTCAGTTGTATATCTTCTTCAAACATAGCCACTGTGTTTGGATTTGCGGGTCAGTCAATGTGTGTATTCAGTTACTATATACTGTAATGTCTTTAGGAGAACATGCAAACAGTTGTTCGTTGAATACAGTTCATCGGCAGATACGTGTCTGGATCCGGTCCATATGGCAAACATCACATGCCCGTGGTCGAATGTGGTAAGGAAATTATTTTGTTGATCACAGGATTAGGTATTCCAGATGTGAAGAGTTGTTTCGGGTTGTAATGACTAGGAATGCTGTATTCCTCTCCACCGTGATTGTGTCCCCACAAGCGTGACTTTCGTCGTCGGTATCTGCCTCCCCCATGGTCTTTGCCCTGTACTCATCGCCTTGCAAACAATAAACAACACACAACTTTAATGGATATTCCCTGCGTGATATATTGTAACAGTTAGCTAAATTTAATGGGGTTGAAATTAAATTGGTGGAAACAAACTCCGAACTGAAGTTTACCCAGAGCAGTG